ATAACTTATAAACTAATTGAACAAATAAATCTGTCAAATATAAAGATTCTCACGGCATGTATACGGTTCGCACACATCATACACAAATTTACTGAAGCGTTCTGGAATTTAAATGATCCGAATTATGAAAGGCAAATAAACTATAGTCTATAGTCTAGTCTATAGTCTAGTCTATAGTCTATAGACTAGACTACAGACTAGACTATAGACTAGACTATAGACTAGACTATAGACTAGACTATAGACTAGACTATAGCTAGACTATAGACTAGACTATAGACTAGACTATAGACTAGACTATAGACTAGACTATAGACTAGACTATAGACTAGACTATAGACTAGACTATAGACTAGACTATAGACTATAGACTAGACTATAGACTAGACTATAGACTAGACTATAGACTAGACTATAGACTAGACTATAGACTAGACTATAGACTAGACTATAGACTAGACTATAGACTAGACTATAGACTAGACTATAGACTAGACTATAGACTAGACTATAGACTAGACTATAGACTAGACTATAGACTAGACTATAGACTAGACTATAGACTAGACTATAGACTAGACTATAGACTAGACTATAGACTAGACTATAGACTAGACTATAGACTAGACTATAGACTAGACTATAGACTAGACTATAGACTAGACTATAGACTAGACTATAGATTAGACTATAGACTAGACTATAGACTAGACTATAGACTAGACTATAGACTAGACTATAGACTAGACTATAGACTAGACTATAGACTAGACTATAGACTAGACTATAGACTAGACTATAGACTAGACTATAGACTAGACTATAGACTAGACTATAGACTAGACTATAGACTAGACTATAGACTAGACTATAGACTAGACTATAGACTAGACTATAGACTAGACTATAGACTAGACTATAGACTAGACTATAGACTAGACTATAGACTAGACTATAGACTAGACTATAGACTAGACTATAGACTAGACTATAGACTAGACTATAGACTAGACTATAGACTAGACTATAGACTAGACTATAGACTAGACTATAGACTAGACTATAGACTAGACTATAGACTAGACTATAGACTAGACTATTAGACTAGACTATAGACTAGACTATAGACTAGACTATAGACTAGACTATAGACTAGACTATAGACTAGACTATAGACTAGACTATAGACTAGACTATAGACTAGACTATAGACTAGACTATAGACTAGACTATAGACTAGACTATAGACTAGACTATAGACTAGACTATAGACTAGACTGTAGACTAGACTATAGACTAGACTATAGACTAGACTATAGACTAGACTATAGACTAGACTATAGACTAGACTAGACTAGACTAGACTATAGACTAGACTATAGACTAGATTATAGACTAGACTATAGACTAGACTATAGACTAGACTAAAGACTAGACTATAGTCTAGACTATAGACTAGACTATAGACTAGACTAAAGACTAGACTGTAGTCTATATATATAATATTCTTTTGTATGTTCTTGCTTAACATCATTGTAGTAAAACTAGATAATCTAAATACTTTCTTTTATAGCTCAATATAAAAGCTTCTTTATGAAAACCCATAATAACTATTAAAAAGCTTACAAGCTTTTTACGTTTTAGTTTCCATTTATTTTATTCAAGAACCATCGTGCTGAATAAGTAATGGTGTATTTATACAAAACTAATACGCATGAGCGTACAAAAAGAACTTTTTCGGACAAAAGTTTAAGTTTGCATTATCCTGTTGTAAAAAGCAAAAGCTTTTTTTAGCTTTTACTCAGTATCAGTTAAATTTTGTATGTTTTGAAATAAAACGTTTAAACAAATTATTTTAACGTTTCAAATTGTTATCGCAAAATTGTCTACCAAGAGCATGTACTATTTTTGAAAGCTCTCCACGTGTACTTACTTATCAAGAAGTTATACTTTTTATATGCAGATTTGCATTATCTGTAAGCTTTTTTTTAAATTAAACTGAAATATAAAATTTAAATTTCAAATCATAGCAATAAAACTTTTTATTTATTCTATAATTTTTCCACTTTCAAATAAATACCATCTAGGGGCAGATTAATAAAACTATGATCAGAAAATTTGATGCTTTCACAGGTTCTCGAACAAGAAGAAAATTTAAAATTCTTAAGAAGAGTAACTAAACCAATGCGATTTTGCATGCGACCAAAACGCGAGCCAATACAATTACGTGGACCATCACCAAAACCCAAAAATTATTGGGGATGTCTAGCGGCCATTAAAGAGGCACTGAAACGTTCTGGTTGGAATGCTAAAGGGTTTTCGTATATCTCTGGATCAAGATGTATGGCCTTAGCGGGTATATATATATTAGTGCCTTTTGGTAAAATAATATCAGTATCGGCTATCTTGTAATCATTAAGTGCGACACGTTGTAGGAATGAAAGATTGGGATAAAGGCGCAGAGTTTCTAAAAAGAAAAAAACCAATTTTAAATAAAAGTAAAAGTCTTTTGTATAGCTACAGCTTACCGGTTATGACTTGATCTAAATATGACATTTCCATCATGGCTTCATAAGATAATTCCCCATTATATCTGCCCAATACATTTAAAACCTCCTGCCTTACTTTTTCCTGTATCTCCGGGTGACGTGAATTCATTCTCATAGGCCTCCTTAAGCTCTTGCGTTAGTTGACTTATGGTGGGAAACATAAATTTCATTTTACTCGTTGTAAAAGTGGGTGATATTTTTTGCCTTAAAGGCTTCCATACTGTCCTCTCAACATTAAAGAGATGAGTCGATAAGATATCCTTACTATTTTTATATTTCATACGATCCTCAAAATTATAGAAATCTTTTATCAGTATTGATTTTACCACATCCTAATCAAGTATTACCGCTATGGGTTTGGTGTAGATATAAATACCGGCTACTTTCGCTTTACACTTAAAGCAGTCATAGACTTCTTGCATTAATTCCGTATGATGCAAAGATTTTAGTTTAAGAAAATGTTCCACTAGAAAATATGTTTTTAATTGTTTCACTCCATGGAAATTCCAGTAAGTAAACTTGTATCTTAAATAAGACCACAGTGCCATCAGAATAGTCCCTATTATTATGAGTCAGAGACACATTATATTTAGTAGTTTAGTTGCTGAGATCTGTTACTGTACTAGAACTCTTTTGCCCAACAAGGTGTAGTTCATATTTCTTGGTCCGTAGATAAGTATAATTCGGCTGGCTATAAAATGCTGATTCTTATCAGGTACGAGGGCAATCCACCACCAAATGATTTTTCAAAACATTTTGTGTTTTTATATGCGATTTCAAACGTTTGGAAGAATTTAATGCAGACTTCTGCGAAGCCACCAATTACACTCATAACAGCTTTAAAAGTATTAACATTATAAATTGTAAGTCTTAATATCGCAATGGATTAAGAGCTTTTGCTCTTGATAAATATGCAAGTTCATATATGTGATTATTTAAAATTCATTGAAATAATATTATTTTTTACACAATAATTTTATGAATATCTGAACCTCATTAGAGGGAACGAGATCGTATGTTTGCAACGCCCAATAATATAAAAAAACCCTCGCTTTAATAGGTTCCCCTCTATTTGAAAAAACAACTTTATGACTTAATTTGGAAACATTAAGCTCCTTACAAATCCCCTCGAGAAATATAAGGTTCACAAGAGCATAGGGTCATAACAAGTTGGTTCCAATTATCTCGATCTTCGGCTCGATGCTTGACTTCATTCCACTTCATACGTAATCTCAATAGTTCTGTTATTAGTTGCCGCTTCCAGGTATGCGCTGGTCTCCCGACTCGTCTGCTACCCTGCGGGTTCCAATCTAGGCATTTCTTGGTAATATCATCGTCTGGTTTACGAAGGGTGTGTTAATAGGTTACTGGTTTGCCTCTATCCTCTGGTTGCTCAACTATAATCCTAAGACTGTTATCTTGGTCAACGCATGATTTTCCGGAGCGAGAACCAGCTTGCTCTTTTCTGAGGGATGGGGAAATTGTTGTCGATAGTCTTTTGTTTATAATATGTGTAATTACCTTATTTACCTGACACCGACTCATATACAAAACACAAGAATATTGAACAAATATTGCATGAGATTCTTTAATAGAGAATTGTTTGGTACTTTTACGAACCAATCATATACACCAATCCCCTCACATGGTTCTATAATATAGAATAGACAGGATCCAGACTGAATAAGAATATTTGCTAATTTATCATTCTTTTGAAGTTTGAGGTTGAATGATAAATACAGAAGCGATTCACATACTTGTATCGCCCGAACCATTCGTAAGCAAAGCCTTTTGGAGATTGGGGCAATGAGAAAAAACTTAACAATGAGAAAAAGCTTAACTTAATAATAATCTCTGAATGGGGACGTGTGCGACAGAGTCCACAAGACCCTATATAGTGTCTTAACATATAAATGCACATTGCTAGCTTCATCTATATTTATGGTTGCTATTAATATTAAGGAATCAATAACTTTTGATATTCTGGACATGAGAATACAGATTTATATCCTCTGGACTCATCACACTTTTTAATATCGGGAAAAAACTACTCAAGTGTCAAAACTCGAAAGTGTCAAAATGGAGTCCTTACGACCCTGCTTGACCATTTGTGCTCAATGAACTAACATATTAACCAACTTAAGTGTGTTGGTTTTTTAAAACGGTACAAGATATACTTCACCCCATCTGATATTCTTGCTATTCATCACTACACTAAGATACGACTAAAAATGGATTATAACTTTCCAAAGTCTATTTAGAAGATACTCGAAGGCGTAGAGAGGAGGGCGAAGGTACTTATAGATGACAGTAGGGTGTCCAACTCTATTGATTCTCTGGGATGTAGATTTGAGTTGTAAGATCTTTTTCATCCAATTTTAAAACCACAAATCAAATTCTCATGAAAAACTTTTATGTTTAGATAAAAACAAATAATATAAAACTTTAAAGTTAATATTTATAAAGTAAATTTACTTATCACAAAGTAATATATTTAATATTCAGTTTAAATTGTTTCTTATCAATATATGGGGTTAAACAAAACAAAAATCTTAAGAAATAAAAGATAATAAAATTTTTGGAATCATAGCCATAAGAATCAAAATGTCTTTTATGACCAAAATAAACTATAATCTTTATAACTTTTCAACTTTCAAATAAATACCATTTAAGGGTATATTAACCATACTATGATCAGAAAACTGTATGCTAGCACAGGTTCTCGAGCAAGGCGAAAACTTGAAATTCTTTAAAAGTGTAACTAGACCAATACGATTCTGCATGCGACCAAAACGTAAACCAATACAATTGCGAGGACCATCACCGAAACCCAAAAATGATTGGGGATGTCTAGAGGCTGTTTGGGAAGGACTGAAACGTTCTGGCTGAAACTCCAAAGGATTTTCGTAAATTTCCGGATCCAAATGTATGGCTTTAACGGGTATATAAACATTAGTGCCTTTATCTAAAGTTATATTGGCATCAGGTATTTTGTAATCATTTAGGGACACACGTTGTATATATGAAAGAGCGGGGTAAAGACGTAGAGTTTCTGAAAAGGAAAAATCTATTATAATTTACTTTGAAATTGTTTTATTATACCAAAACTTACCCAATATTACTTGATCTAAATAAGTCATTTCCATCATGGCTTCATAGGTCAACACTCCATTATATTTCTCTAGCACCTGCAACACTTCCTGTCTTACTTTTTCCTGTATCTCTGGATGACGTGCCAATTCATATAGCACATAACTCATATTCGTTGAAGAGGTCTCATAACCAGCTACAAAGAATACAAACAATTGAGCTGCGATCTGATCATACGTCAACATGGGTTCACCATTCTCATCCTTGGTGTTTTTCAAATCAATTAAAATATTCAAGAAATCATTACGTTTAATTCCTTGTTTTTCACGTTCTATAACTGAATCTCTGGCCACACGCATAAAAAAGTCTTCAATAAATTGTGGAAACCGCTTGGAACCCATGAATTGCATTAACCTAGCATAAGTAAGCTTAAACATATGCCAGCGTATATTGAAATTAGTGCGTCCAAAGACTTTAGAACAAATCTGTCTAAATTCCACAGAGGGATCTTTTAAGCTATTACACTCAATGCCAAAAATACAAGTACCCACTACATCCGTGGTATAGCGTGCATTAAGATCATACATATTAACACCCTTGTCGCCAAATTCTTCGATATTTCTTTCGTAGGCCTCCTTTAGTTCCTGTGTTAGGTTGCTTATAGTGGGAAACATAAATTTCATTTTTCCCGAGGTAAAAGTAGGAGTTAATTTTTGCCTCAATGGTTTCCACACCGTTCTCTCGACATTAAAGAGATGAGTTGATAATAGGTCCTTTGTATTTTTATATTCCATACGATTCTCGAAATTATAAAAATCTTTTATCAATATTGCCTTAACCAAATCTAAATCTAGTATAACCGCTATGGGTTTGGTGTAAAAGTAAATGCCCGCTAGTTTTGCTTTACCCTTAAAGGTATCGTATACCTCTTGCAGTACTTCTGTATGATGCATGGATTTCAGTTTGAAAATGTGTCCAAATAGAAAATGAGGTTTTAATTGTTTTACGCCATTCATTTCCCAATAGTTGTATTTGACTCTTAAATAACCCAGCAGGGTAGATAAAGCGGTCCATATTACTATAAGCCAAAAACTCATTTTTATGATGTTAAGCTGCTAGAGTTCACTGAAATACTAATGCTTTCACTTTAAAAAGGTTTTCTGGTGAAAGTAGTTTTAAATATTTTATCTAATGTTGGGTGTCTGCTGATAAGAAGTTTGATTCTTACGTATATTCATTTGATAAAAATGCATATGTTAGTTAAGAAACTGTTTGTTTTGGAGATTAAGATTATTCCATGGGGTATTCAGTATAGAAAGATAAAAAAGTAAGAATGTTTTATTTAATATACATATGCACATTAGGGTTACAATTTTTTAAAACTTTTGCATCTGGATATTATTGTCTATAAGATAGTGCTGTTGTAGTCTGCTGCCCAAAAAAAGTTATACCCTTATGTACATACTTCTCATTAAAGAACTTCTCACTAATTTCAAGTTATTTTGGGACAATGACGCAACAAAAGAACTTCATATTAAATTTATGGAGCACTAGGTCAATTATGCGCAGAACTATATAGCTTTTGAAAGATTAATTTCATTTAACCATTTTTAAATGACTTATAGAAAATGAACCGATTTTCTCCAATGTAGTGGTTGACGACTGATCGTCATAAAAATGGGTAGAAAGTTTTTGGTTCTAAAAAAACTTTTTTAAGGTTTATGCATGAGGGTTGAGGCCAAGGATCCGATTTTTGAAAATATTTGCGCTTTGGATAAAATTTTCAGCAAGGTTATTACTATTGGGTAGTAGGCCTACCCAGTGGTCCAAAGCACTTTAGATAACCATTTTTTCAATTTTTGCCAAGAAAATGTTTAAAATTTCTTTAATTAAAAATCTTAATTTTTTAAATTCCATTTTTCAGTAAAATAGTAAAACTTCAAATTTGCAGTAAAATTATAATTTTAATTAAAATTTTCAATAAAATTCATATTTAAAAAAAAAAAGTTTTTTTCAATAAAAATTCATTTTTTATTAAAAATTAAAAATTTTATGAAAAATTCGATTTATAACTAAAATTTTGATCACTTACTTAAAATTCGATTTTTCTCGACTAGTCAATTACTTAGTTAGTTAGTTAGTTAGTTAGTTAGTTAGTTAGTTAGTTAGTTAGTTAGTTAGTTAGTTAGTTAGTTAGTTAGAGTTAGTTAGTAGTTATTAGTTAGTTAGTTAGAGTTAGTTAGTTAGTAGTTAGTTAGTTAGTTAGTTAGTTAGTTAGT